CTTTTAACTAAATGTAATTTAAAAATATTTTTAATGTTACCTGTATATAATATATATATTTATGCTTCTGAAATGCTATAAGTATGAGAAATTTTTTTATTGATTGTATAGTATCTACTAAACTAAACTCAGTGGCGCAAGAGCCCATAAGTACCAAGGCCTACTGTGCCCATCTCAGTTTTCGTGATCTTGGACGCTAAGGTGTATGAGCAGATGTTCGGGTCAGGTGGTCAATCTGACGCGAGAGTATCTACAAAGTATATGTTTTAATATGACTGTCAAACACTGTGTGAGAGATTACCCCGCTCTCTTGCCCGCCTAGGTGTGTGGGAGGAAGGTAAGGAATACCAGACATATTCAAAATCAACTTATTGATCAACCAAATTAACCACACCGATTCTATTAAATTCAAAAAGAGAATCTCTCAATATGAGCAATACAAGTGAAACAATAACGAGATGCCCGAAATATACGAAAACTATAAATATCGATCACTTTAATTTAGGATTCAATTAGCCCAATTAGCTTAACGTTACTTTAAGTTTAGTGACCAATCGTCACTTAAAATCTTTGTCTATTTAATATTTGAAATATTCAATAATTTGTAGTGATACCCGATCAGTAGCAATCTCACCTGACTTCTGGTTTCCTCTCTCTCCTTCTCTTCATTGCTAGCTAGAAAACTCTGACTATATATAGTAGATTTAATTTGAATATCACGGTTTCTTCTTCAGAAGGGTTGGCTGTGAATAAATGCGAATGATAACCCAAAGATTTCCCAAGAGGATTAGCGGACGGTCCGAAAATAGACCCGTCACAATTACTATTCATTTAAATTGATGGAGCTTAGTTGGTTACTTTGGTAATGTCAAATTAAATTATATGTATTAGGTATTTATAAATATAATGGCTATATAAATTGAATTATTAAATAAAATTTTGACATTTTAAAATATTCTTTTTATATATTTTATGCTTTAAAAGTATATTCACATTTGAATATACGTTATATTCGTATATATCTCTTTTTAGGGCGAATTAAAAATTTAAAGTAGAAATTACGGTTTTTAAATATCAATGTATGGGCACTCACACGCATATATACATACTTATCACCATCATCACCATCAGTCATTGATTGTTATTGCACTCGTAGTGAAAATGACACTTTAAAAAAAGATTTATTTGAAGAATAACTGCTGCACATATTGGTCGTACTTACATTTATTTTTAAAATGAGACCTCTTGCATGCGTTATTTATTTTCATTAATTCTAAAATTATTTTACATGATTGGTATATCTTACTTCAGCACTTTTTTCCCTTGTTTTTTTTTCTGATGTCATTAGCATTTTGCGTACTTAACTTTCATATAACGCAAATGCTTCATTTTTATTTTTATTGCTTATATTATATTTGATAATTAAGTATAGTGCTTTAAGTTTATGTGCAATCTAATAATAGAAGCTCATGGAATTGGAAAACTAGCAAAATAGAGCATTGTGTTTGAAGTTAACGGAAAAATTAAGGCGATTATGTTTATTTACTGTGATCCGATAGATCGGTAATGCTCACATCCAAATGATTTATGTATTAAAGTTTTTTTTGTTTTTTTAAAAATTGTAAGTATCTTTATTGCATTGAAAAATCTAAGTATATTTCTGCATACACACACCAAACTGAATTTTATAGTAATTTAATGTATGTATATTGAATTCTATCAAAAATTCAAAACTTTTTATGTATGTTATTGTAAAACTGTAAATAAACTTTTACGATGATATAGTTGTT